TCAGTTAAGATCAGTCAGCTTTTTTACTCCCACTCCCCTCTCTACCCATTCCGTGAGGAGGTTTTCGAGAGACCGTGGCGTGTGGGGGACCCGGCTGAGGAGCAGCTGACTGGGGCACGCGTCTACGCTTTAGGGAGACAGATTGATATGACTTGTAGTCTCCTGGTGAAGATATTGTTAGCCATTCTGGTGTAAGAATGGTACCCAGAAATACTCCATCTCCCCACTGTACTTTTGATAGAGGCAGTGTGGGGAGAGTGGGAAAGGAGCAAGGTTTGAGATGTATAGAGCCAGTGGGAAGTGTGTTGAAAATTCTCCCAGTCATCAGACATATAAAGTTGTATGCCAAAGATTTGGTTTTCATTAAAATCGAGACAAAATGGAAAAATTTACTCAATGATATACGATGGAATGAATCATGAAATGAATCATGTCTTGTTTTATTTTCCAATGGCACTCTCGTGAAGCAGAATTTCCGTGTTTTAAGGGCACAAACCTGGAGCATATTTTATGAATTTCAACTGTTAACACAAAAACCTAGTGGTGAACAGCGATGCCAGGAGAAAGACAGCCTTATCTTTGTGTTATCTTTAGGAGAAGAACAGCTAAAAGGCACTGTCAGGAGAGACGACAAAGGGGTCTGAGGGTTCACTTATGAAAGTGCTGAGTTATCTTTCTGTGCAATTTGTGGTCTTTGTAGTATGGGTCGGCTTTTGCTATGATTTATTTCTCATTCTAAACAAATATTCACCTTTATTTATAATTTTACACTTGAATCTTAAAATTCATTTTCTTAAAAAACAACCATGAGCTGCAGGTCCCATACAAGCTGAGAAAGGCCCCGGCTGGGGTTGGAGTTTGTAGAGGCCAGAGTAAGGGGCCAGATCTACCAAATGAAAACACTGAACCTTTGTCTGATCCTTTGGTTTTTTTCTAAAGACAAACCTTGCAAGCTGCCCATAGACACAGGCATCCAGAAGGGGAGTGGGAGAGGTTGGCGCTGGAGGGTGAGAACAGGGGGTGTGAAGAGCACAAGGGAATACAGTGATGGGCAATAGGTGTTTTGGTTGGTGGAAGAATGACGGTGGCCACACCTGAGGGGAGAAATCTTATGTTGCCCCAAAGTTAGCAATGAAGTAAGAAAAAGTTACTACATTTAAAAATTAACAAAAAAAATACAGGAACCCTGTTAACTTTGAATTTCAGATGAATAAGCATTGAAATGTGTTGATCTGAAATTCAAGGTTAACTGGGCATCTTATATCAAATGGGGAAATCAAAGGAATAGCAATAAATCAACCTGGCAGAGGATGGGACAGTGGGGCAGAGGCGAGGAGAGCGTCGTCACGAAGAAAGTCCCCTGGGACCGACTCTTACAAGCTGGTCGGCATTTGCAGAAAGGGCTGAAAAGCGATTGCAGTGCTTTCTAGGTGAGAGCAGGCAGGGAGGTGTGGGGGCTCTAAAGAGATGAGGTTGGAGATGTGGGCTGACCTGGACTGTGGTGGGTCTGGAAGACCACGAGGAAGGGCTTTGTCTTTATTCTGGAGTCCCGGGAGCCATGCTGGGCATTTCAGACAGCAGTGCACCAAGGCTGGGTTTGAATTTTAGAGAATCTGGCTCCCTAGGAAAGGATGGGTTGTGGGAAGTGAGACTGGGTAGAGGGTTCTGGAAAGACGCAGGCAGGTGGGCAACACTGAGCTCTCTCATTACCTGTCCCAGCCCCCCTTCCGTGTCTGTGGATTCTGTTTCACAGTATTTGAATCATAGAATCCAGTGACAGAAGATTCTGTTTGATAAACAGAATCTGAGGCTCTATGTCAGCAGAGCCTGACAGCCCTGTGGGCAACAAAGGAGAAAACTCCAGGTTGGGCAGCACCAGGTGCTGGAGGTGGGCTGTCATCCTCCCCACCAGCACAGGAAACGCCAGGCTGGATTTCCTCAGGTCATCGACTTCCTGGGTGAAGGCAAGTCAGAACATCTTGGCCTGGGAGAATTACATCACCTCCCCTGCTAAACAGGCTTGAGGTTGCCCATGATGCTTCATTCTGTTCCACTCCACCTGGGCCTGATCTGAGATGGCAGACAGGGTGAGAAAGGACACTGAGCTCGAGGTGGGTTGCTGAGGTCTGAGACCCCACGCTGCTTCCTTGCTGTGCCAGCACAGGGCTGGCTCAGGCTTCTGTTTGCTCGCACTTGTGCTGGGAATGCTGAACTGTGTGCTCCCTGCGACCCATCCTGACTCATTTCTAAATCTGAACAGAGGAGAAGCTTTTAAAATATTTCCAGAATTAGGCAATTATTTTTTTTGTTCAACTTTCAAAGCGATTTACTTTTTTATGTACTACTTTCAAAGACACATGCAATTCAAAACACATCATTATAATTCAGATACATTCACCAAGATGGTCAAACATTTATAGTCTTGGTTTTTAAGTTCATATTTATTTCCCAACATTGTCAATATCAATATCTCTTTCTTTTACAAATTCTTTCTCTATTATACTTTCTAGCATCTTATGGTTGTTTGAATTTAACTGGAATGATTCATATACACCTTGATTCATATATACCTTGAGATTCATATACACCTTGATTCATATACACCTTGATTCATATACACCTTGAGAGTTCTTCAAGACCCAAGTTCTTCAACCAAAAAGTTGAGCTCCAGGATTAGCACTTAGGGATGGGAAGAGCCACTCCTGCAGAGAGGAAATTGCCTGCACCACCAAAATACTTCATGAGGATGGAGTAGAAGGTGGGTGGGGTAAGGGACAGGAAGTGTGACGGAGCTGTGTCCATCACACAACAAACTCTGTGCAATCTCTATTCTGGCTCTTTAGTCTCCATCACATTCTTTCTGCTTCCTTATTTGACGGTGAAAATTTGAGGTCTGGCATCTCAACGGTGAGTCAACTGGTTCCGGCAAATCCAGTTCTAAGGTTAGACATAAGTTACATCTATGGATCTTATACATATTATTGAATCTAAAATCTAACAAGAATGATTCATATATGCCTTGAGAGTTTTTCAACGCCCTGCACACTTTTTTGTTTAAGTTCTAAAACTTAGCACTTAGGGGTGGGAAGCTGCCACTCCCAGGTCACCATAGTTTGGTTGTAATCCTGGGAGGATGTCATTTCATCTCAATTTAGTATTATTTTTATATTAATAATAATGTATAACATTATAACTATAATTCATAGTATTAAATACATAAATATTTTGTATTTATATTATGTGATGGGCAGCAAGGCTCAAGACAGAGAAATTTCTTATTGTCCCTCTTTTCTTCCAATTTAGGAACTCCAAAGGGGGCTGTAAAACTAATAACAAAAGCTATCAGTTTCCAGTGTTTTATTACGTGCCAGACACTCTGCTGAGAGCTTGCCTTTAATCATTGAGTCTATGTGCCATGAATGTGCAGTAGGCATGACTGCCACCATTTCTGCAGATAAAATAAGAGGCACAAAAATTAACTGGCTTGCTGTCGGTGAGTGGGGGTGTCTGTGGGGAGGGGGGCAGCCTGCCCTGCTGACTCCGGAGCTGTGGTCCCGCCACACTGACACACTGCATGCTGGAGAGGCACTCTGAGCCATCACACGGTTTTCTTTCCTCTAAATTTCCTGTTATGTTATCTTTGCCCTGAAAGCTGGGTCAGAACATACACTCTGAGTAGAGGGGGTGACTGCAGGGTGGCGTCAGTGTGGACAGTTGCATGATCCTCTTACATGTGGGGCTGGGCCACCATCTGTGAGGTAGGAGCCAGGCAGCTCTGGCCATGCTGGAAAAACAGCACCCACCTCCCCCTCCCTCGCCCCCCCACCCTGGGAAGCAGGCGTGAGGATAGGAGAGCTCTCTGGACTCAAGAGTAGCTCTTTCTTCCCTTCCCAAAAGGAATGGTCACCTATATTAACTCCTAACAAAGTTGTCTTCCCCTTTTCTGAATATCTAGCTCATCGTATCCAAATAAATAACATTTATTTATCAAGTACTTACTGTGGATCAAGTCCATTAGTTTATTCAAAATATCACAGTTTATTTTACCTATTTTCTGAATCTTCAGAAAGGTCTTAAGTAGCTTGGTTCAGTGCTTCATAAAGAGGGAGAGGATTTAATCTAGATCTACATTGTGCCCCCCAGATTGTATTGCTTTCATTGTATCCACGATGCTGCACAACAAGACTCCCAGTCCCGGGGGTTCCTTTCCTTTGCACCTACCCCCATAATAAGTCTCCATCCTTCCTGACCCCCCTCCTTCTCTCCCAGGGCTCTGTCCACCATTCCCCAGTCGGCTGCAAAGCAGTCTCCTCCAGTCCATTGGCCAAAGGACTGTGGGGTCTCTTGCAATTGCGTCCCAACACAGAAGTTGTTTCACTTGGTGAAATCAAGCTCTATTTATTGTGGGAGCCCATGTTTGGGGTGGAAAATTCACACTTTATCTTTCCATCACCATCATCCCAAACCCTGATCCTTGGAGAATTCATGATGCAGAGATGGTGTAAAAAGGTAATGTAGATACAGGGTCTCCTGGCCCAAGAGCAGGGACTCTGCCACTGTTGTTGGCTCCTGCTAAGCAGCTCCACTTCCAGTCTCATGGTCTCTCTCAGTGTTAATGAATGTGAGAGACGAGATGAAGGAGGAAAGAGATGCTGTGCAAAGAAATCCTTGCATTCCCGAGGAAAAAATGTTCCCCACAAAGTCAAACATAATAAAGCATGTAAAACATTTAGCTAGTGCCTGGCACATGGTGGTGCTCAATAGTTGCATGAGACATCAGGTGGATGGAATGTGCATAGTCAGGGGTAGGTGCACGGTCTCCTGGGGCTGGTGCTGGCAGGGCACAGCTGTCAGAGAGGGCTTTCCTGAGTTTGCCTGCAGGGTGCAATTGGTGGCAAGCCACAGCTCTCAGGAAACTGACCTAACTTGGATTTTTCTGTGTGGATACAGAATTACAAGAAATTCTCATTTGCATGGTGATGGGAGTTTATTTTTCCTAGAAGCTGCAAGTCAAGACCCAGAAGAAAGAGGCATTTCTTAATAATGATTACTCAGCTATATCTCAAAGAAGTAAGAAAACAATTAAGGAAATGAGATGCTAAGGAAATGAGGGGAAGAACAATCTCCCAAAGGTGGACCCGCCCAGTATACCTTCTCAGCGTTTCATCCCATTTCCTCTTATCCACCTGCATAAAAGTGACCAGCCTCTCCTGGTGGCAAAGAGCATCAAGGAAGAAGACACAGAAGCAGCAGAGGCTCAGCAGTGAGAGGTGAGGCTTTTACTCATCACCACCCCAGCCCTCAGCTTACAGTTGGGGAGAGCCCAGGCGCTGAGGGTGGACATTCTTTTGCCTATTCTCAAGAAGAAGAGATGGAGGTGGGAAAGAAGGGAGGAAGAAAGGGAAGGGGGGTGTTTACTATAATCTTTTTGTTCTAGGAACTGCACGGGGCACTTGCAATGAATCTTTTAAAAATTCTTTGCTGTGTCTTTTTTAAATGTGTGGGGCACCGCCGGCTCGGTGGGACCAGTCCCTGTCTGTCTGGGGTAAAGGGGTTGCTGGGATCCCCTGTTGAGATGCCAGAGGGGAACAGTGCCCCGTGGTGGTGCAGGGATGGGAAGAGGAAGGTCAAGGGCCAGCTCGCCTGCCTCCTCATACTGCTCTGCCCCATGCCGGCCACACACCTGGGGCAGGTACTTCTCTCCTTGGCAAGATGGAACTACAAGCAGAACCTCAAAATAAGACGGTTATATAGAACGCTTAGCACAGTGCCCAGCACCAGTGGTGCATATGGCAAATGTTAGCTACTGCTGTTCTTTGACTAGACCAGGATGTCTGGAATCGCCTCTCCAAGCCAAGGGGCCACTGTTCTCTTCCATTAATGTCTGAGCTCTGGGCACAGGGCCAGCAGGCAACGTCTCCACTGCTTCCTCGTGCTATCTTGTCAGAAGGAAAGCTGGGCTCTCTTCCTGCCACTTGGCTTTCTACAAGCACCCTAGTTGTCTTTAAAGGTCACAAAAGTTTGGGAACTCCATCGATGGGGTCTGTTTTTTCCTGCCAATGGGGTGTATTTTCTTGTTTTGCCAGGGAGAGGCATGGACAAAGAGATACCAAGCTCTTTAGCATAATGCCTGCCAGGTCTCCATGCATCTGTCCACTCACCGGGAATGGCTCTGAGTTAAGGAGAGATAAGAGAACCTGGTTTTCTAAACAGGGGTTGCGCTCTCTTGGCTTTCTGGAGAAGATCCTGGGGGTCCAGAGGAGGCGCTAGAGAGCGGTGGAGGGAACTGGGGCAGTTCTCGTTCACACTTTCGGAAGCGTGTGCCTGAGACTCACAGCAACTATAGGCAGGAGCTGCAGGGCGCTCGCAGCCCCTCACCTGGCGGACGGTGTCTCGAGCCCCGTCTGCACCTGCCCGGCGCACACAGCTGGAGCGAGAGCGCTCAGTGGGCACCGCGGAGGGGCCTGGCACAGGACCGCTCGCCACGCGTGTCATAAACTTATCACTGAGGCTAAGCTCTGTGAAACTTGCGGTAGTGCTGGCTGGATCGGAGAAAGACACTCAACAAGCTAAGTGTTTTGTGCATTTTTTTTCAATGTGTATTGCATGATACCATTTAAAATTGTAAAATGAAAAAAGGTAGAGAGACAGGCAGAGACAGGAGGGGCAGGGGGAGAGAAGAGGCAGCAAGGGTCTCCCTCCTGGGGACCAGCTGGCTGTGAATCTGGCTTCACCCGGGCTGTAGGATCACGAAGCCGGGCCGCCGCCAACTTGCCCTCTGCTGAGCGCCTGCCTCCCTCTCTTCACTGTGACTAATTGGTTATCAGGAGATGTTTTTCATCTTCTTTCCCCATCTTTTCGAGAAGGCATAATCTTCATAGTTGGCGTGAAACAAATGATTTTAAGCAGATCCACACTGGGGCTTTATAAAAAAAGGAGTTGCCGCCTGTTTGGGGGGCAAGCAAAACTCCAAATGTGCTTTTACTTTTCAGGCACACCATCTGATAGACTTTTTAGATCTGTTGCCTAATTCCTAGGGCACATCACCAACTGTGTTTTTCCTATTTAATTGATTAAAAACAATGCTCTTCTTCCCATTGATTGTGCTGAGCCACAATAGCGTGTAGCCACACAAACACAGCCCCGGGATTGAGATAGCACTGCCTGTGCTCTCTGGGGCTGCGGAAGTGGGCCGAGGGCTGGAAGGAGGCTCACATTTAATTAAGTCAAGAAGATCAGAGGAGGAGACACAGGCCTGACTCGGCAGGCTGTGATAGTGAGCCTTGGTTGCTGTCTGACCGTCCTGGAAAAAGCCAAAGGGGAGCCCACTCAGGGTTCTCTTGCACTCTCTCCACTCTCGGCTGAGCAGCCAACCTCCACCCCTCCTCGCAGGACATGAAGGCGCAGCGTGTTTCCCTGTGTCTCCTGGGCGCAGCGCTCTTCCTGTGCTCCGTGCGCGCCCGGAGCCTCAGGCGGTGCCTGGTGTCCGCGGACATGCGCCACTTAGAGGAGAGCTTCCAAGACATCAAAGGAGACATTGTGAGTATGGACTTGGCGGAGGGTTTGCGCGAGGGGTCGTAGCCAAGTTCCTTCTCAAGGTCTTGCGTGTCTCAGGAGAGCATAGAGCGCTCACCGTTTGTGTCTGTTCTCATGTGTCTCTTCACAGCAAGCCAGGGACACCTTGCAGAATGTCACCATCCTGGTCATGTCGGACACCCTGCACAGTATTAAGGTACTGGTCCTTGTCTACGCTTGTTCTTTTTAATACACAAAGTGGCCCTGGGCTAAGAAAGCATCTCTAGCCAGTCTTCCCTCATCCCCGGTGGGTGAGTCCTCTGAACTCTCCTGGTTTCTTATTTGTCCACTAATGTAACAGGACACACTTGTGTCCCAGGGACTTTGAAATCTCTGGGAGGGATTAAAGAAGTGCCACTTACCTAAGGGGTGATTGAGGGTGCATGCGCTAAAATGAGCCATGCCTGTGACTTAGGGTGTTTTTGGAAGGTTTCACCGAGGAGCAGAGAAAATAAGCAGTGACTTGAAAGCTGAGTAGCTGTGGGTTAGTGGATAAAAGGGAGGCAAGGACAAGGGAACACAGGGCACAAGATCAGTGGATGTGTTTGTGTGAGAACAGGGTCTCTGGGGTGAGGGACAGACATACAGGTGTGTAAAAGAGGAGGGAGGTAGAAAAATACGCTGGGATTGTTTTACCAAGGTCCTTAAAAGGCAAGCTGAGCCTGGGTCTTAAAAACAGAGGCAGTAGGAAGTCTCTGTAGGATTTTGAGGGAAGGATTATATAACCACAAAATCTTTTTGAAAGGTAGGCCGGTGGACCACCCTGGTGGTGCAGGGGTTAAAATTTCAGTGCTATCAAGGCATTGCCAGCCACTGCAGCCTGAGTTCAATCCCTATCCAGGGAGCTGACCCACACAGTGTAGCAGACCTCTCCTGTCTTGCCCACTGCTCCCCTCAGCAGTGTACTTCATAAATACGTGTTGATGGATGGAAGGCATCCTTTCAAAAGGGAGTTGCCTGTTCTGCTCCCTACTCTGTCTCGGGTGAATCCTCTCACCCCCTGTACCTCTGGCTTACACCGCAGCTCTTGTATGCATAAAAAAAAAATAAATCTCTAAAAAAAAAAAAAAAGAAAGGTAGGCTGGTAATGGCCTTTACAATGTACAGCTCTAGTCAGCAAAGCCATGAGGAGATCAGTCAAATGTTCAGACGAGTTGATGAGATAAGTGAATTACAAAAGAATTGACTTACGAGGTGATAATTCAATTTACAGATGGAGCCTCAGACAACTGCCTTTGAAAGTGAGCTCCTCTGGTACTTACAAGCATTCTAGAAGATCTAATTAGTTTCAAGTATTTGTGTGTTAGATTGTAAGGTGTATCTGTAATGAGTTACTTCTCTGTCTGTCTGCTGGAGATTTTTTTTTTTAAAGATTTATTTATTTATTTATACAAGCACTGGGTACAGTCAGAAGCATGGGAAGGTGAGAGAATTCACCAGAGCCAGAGCGGAGAGGAGAGCAGGCAGAATGACGAAGTACACTGCTGAAGGGAGCAGCAGGTGGTAGGAGAGATCTGCGTGCCATGTGGGACCCTCACCTGGTGGCGGGGGATCAAACCGGCCAGAGGCTGCGGGCAGCTTCGCAACCCAGTGCCCAACCACTGCGCCACCGGGGAGGCCCTCCTGGAGATTTTTGCAGCCAGTATTGTGCTTAGTTTCTTTGTGGCAAGCAAGTTAGCCAGCTACTAAATTATTCTCACCAGTTGTATAAGACACTCAGGATATCACAACTAGAAGGAACCTGCAAGTCCACCTTTCCCTAAACTATCATTTTCAAATAAGCAAAGTGACACCTTGGGAGGGAGAATGACTTGTTAATGGTCCCATCAGGAATAGAGCTCCAAGTCTCATGCTTGTATTTCCAGATCTTTCTGTACCAAGGTCTAGAAATAGCTGATGTAGCATAAAGAAATGGAGATTTTTCTCCTCCCTCCATCCCTGATAAGCAAAGGTGTGCAATATTTTTCTCTTTAGTTGAGGGACTCAGCAGGAGTGGAAGCAGTGGTTTTGTTGTTTTTTTTTTTTTAAGATTTGTTTTTGCATGCAAGAATGGGGATACAGGCCAGAGGTGAGAAGGGTGAGAGGATTCACCAGAGACAGAGTGGGGAGCAGAACAGGCAGATCGACTGAAGTACACTGCTGAGGGGTGCAGTGGGTGAGACAGGAGAGGTCTGCTGCGCCATGTGGGTAGCTCCTTGGCCAGCCTGGGATTGAACTCGTGCTGCACAGGCTGCGGATTGCTTTACAATGCTGTGCTTAACCCCTTGCACCACCAGGGAGGCCCAGCAGTGGGCTTTTATCTTATAAGTAGAGTTTGCCAACTAGGGAAATTTGCCTCTGGGGCTAAGGATGCTTTTGCTACTTTAATGTGAATGAAGATGGATGGGCTTTCCTATGTGGGTGCCTCCCTCCTTAGACTGAGCTGTACAACTGCTGTGTAATGCTCTCCCTCTCAGAGCCATTGCAAGTAACTGGAAGGAAACTTGGCCTGGCCAGCTGCTTGAGCTGTGGTCTGGGAATGTGGAGCCCTCTCAGGGAGATCAGTGTTAGTCCAGCTGTGGACCAGACTGGATGGGCTCATATTCATGGCTGCCATTCTTTGTTCTTGCACATCTCAGCCCCATCACTGATCCCTGGCCAGGAGTGAGTGGGGTGGCTGGGATAAACACTGTTATTACAGGGCAGGGACACATGTCCCATGCACACCTGGCATGCAGTAGCCATTGAATAAATATGTGTTGATGGACAGAAGGCATTATAGAGAGGCAGCTGCAGCACAATGTAAGGAAGTACTTTTCAAGAAAGCTCTTATGTCCGTCCTTTCAAAAGGGAGTTGCCTGATTCCTAGAAGGGTTTAAGCAGAAGTAAATGATGACATGTCATCATTCATTGTGATGCTGTAGAGAGTTCTGGTCTATGACTGGGCTCCCTGCCTTGCTGGCACATCTCCTGGTCACACAAGAAGGGAAGTGGGCCGCCATCGCTCCTTTACTTTAAGCAGCTTTGCAGCTCGGGTGTGTTAAGAGGAGAAGGACACTCGGAGGTTTCAGTTCTCTTGCTTCCTGCTGCCTCTACTTGAAAAGACAGCTTTGGTCTCTGAGATGATAAGAGAAAGGCTACTCTGACAGTTGTGCAATTTGTGTCTATAGCTCTTAGACGTGTGCTGCGTGACCAAGAACCTCCTGGCATTTTATGTGGACCGGGTGTTCAAGGATCACCGGGAGCTAAACCCCAAAATCTTGAGAAAAATCAGCAGCATCGCCAACTCTTTCCTCTACATGCAGAAGACTCTGCAACAATGTGTGAGTCACTGGGTCAGGATTTCAAGCATCTGTTTCTTGTCTCCCAGGACATGCTGGCCCAGGTCCGCTTCAGAATGTTCCTGGACTCACAGGAAATGCCCTGCTGGAGTGGTCAAAAATCTCCTCCAGTGGTCATTCCTTCTCTGGGCTTCCTCCCCGTTGAAACCTCATTAGATGTGGGGTTCCTCAAAGACAATCTTTCTAGGGTAATCACTTATATTGTATGCCCTAAGTGGTGAGAGAGGCGTGCCAAGGACTCCATGCACATCATTAGCATCTCCCTAGTTTCTTTGTTGCTGGTCCTTTGAGGTTTCCAAAAGGATTAACCTTTGGGGTTTCTCTGGTGTAAACTATCCCTGCGGGTTGCCTATAAATTTATCATGATCTATTAAAAACAAACATTATATATGAAACCAAACTAAACAGACCAACAAAGAACAGGAAAAATCCTGGGTTCGAGCTTTATCGCTATGATTTTGTGGCAACTTATTTCACCTCTCTCCGTCTTGGAGACGGAGTTTGTTGCAAGAGGCCATGACCTCGGTCCCATTTACATTAAGATAATGGAACCAAGCAGATTCACTTAGCCGATTATTTCATTAACCAGCCCAACAAGTACTTACTGAGTGTCTGTCTTGCTGACTGATGCATTCATGGTGGGGACAAGACAGGTGTGGCGCCTGCTCCCCAGTCTTTCTTATGGGCTGTCCACCCAGGAAAAGCAAACACTCTGGTCAAGAGCAGGGTGATTCTATAAATAGACTACTCCCCTCTACAGCTCCTGGGTGGAAGCAGAAGGGTCCATCTTTGTGGGGGGCAGCAGGCAAGGGCGGGCTGGAAATTCCTCTGATGTGTGCACTTTCGCTTTTGCATGCCAGGAGCGGACACTGTGTCACTGCAGGCAGGAAGCCACCAATGCAACCAGAACGGTCCACGACAACTATAACCAGGTAAGAGCAGGGAGAAGGGGATTGGGATGTAGGGGCCTGATGGAGAGTGTGCCAAGCATTTGGCCTCTTCACCCCAAAGTCATCCATTCACTTCACAAGTCAATGGGATGCAGGCCACCCCAGTTCCGTGTGACTGCAAAGAGTGCGTTGGTCTTACCGCTTTAGCTAATTTCTTGGACTCTCCTAACCCTTCATCTCTCTATCATATCCTTAACCCCTCACAAGTTTAAGATTTGAGGGAAAAAATACTGTTTATGATGGGAGCAAAGATCCTCAGGGAATTTTAAGCTGTTATGCATGAAACATGTGGCCCTGGAGGTGTCTCTGCCAGGAACTGTCATTAGCAGTTGGTGTGTTGCTGAAGAGGGAGCCTCTTGTGTGGCTGTGGCAGTTGAAGGCACATGTCATGCAGAGGTAGAGGGAGAAGCAGTGCTCTCAGGTGCATTATTTCGAGTTCCTTTTAAATGCAGATTCTGGCTTGGTAGGTTGGGAATGAGGCCTGAGATACTGCACTTCAGCCACACTCCTAAATGGTGCCCATGCTGACAAGAAGGTCAGAGTCTGTTCTGACATGATTTGATTGCTTATTTGTGGAAAACAATTGGGGTTGCCTATTAGGAAAATACTTTGGAGTCTGAATGTTATGTAAGTGTATTTGATGAGTAAAAAGGAAGCCTCCTGGGCACCAGAACATGGTGATTTGAAAACTATGATGTAGCCTGGAAAGGCAGGTTCTTATCATGATTTTATTGGTTCTAGCTGGATGTCCCATCAGCTGCCATTAAGTCTCTGGGAGAACTTGACATCTTTTTAGCCTGGATCAACAAGAATCATCAAGACACTTCCACTGCCTGATGATCAGGAGCCTCGTTGCAGGAGTGACCCCCTAGGAGGTTTCTGGGGGAATCAGCCAACATGGAAGGTTGGGGAATGGGGCAGACCTCATTTTTATGCAAATGCAGTTTTTTAAAAGGTAACATTGGTTTACAGCATTGCATATGATTTAGAGGTACAGAATCATACCCTTTCGGATGTTTGCTGATGCACAACCGCCCACCACGAAGGCACCCATAGTCCTCCAATGTACAGTCCACTGGGCCCGTCCACACGGCTGTCCACCACTCTCTTCCCCTCTCCCCCTCAATTCTATAGCAAGTGATTTTTTTTTTTTGAAAAACCCTGCACTGATTTGGAATTCTGGCCCTTTGTGCTAAGGCATTCTAGGGAAAAATCTAGGTATGAGCTGATCGTATCCTATAGCAAATGTCCTACGGGCTGGTCCCAGGCTGTCTGATCCCATTTGAAAGTAGCCAAATAACCTAAGGTCATATTTATGATGAAACTTGTCTGCCCAAAAAAAAAAAGGCCCTGTGAGCCTTCCTGAAGGGCAAGGGTCGGCTTCCCCTAATTTATTGTGAAGTTGTTTATCCATGTCTGTGATGTGAGCTGAGCGATATTCTGTAGTACACATTGTACTGACTGATTTTTCTAAATAAATTCTGTCCTGTATCAATTTGTGGAAGTGTTTTCTGATTCAAGGAGTGTCAGCCACAGGCTCATGAATGTAGACTGCTGCAAACAAAAGGGGGTCTTAACCCAAGGGGCTGTGGAAACTGAGAGGGCCGAGTGTTTGCCTGGAGCCCCAGTGGGAGTTAGTACCGAAAAGGGTTCCAACTTGGTCTCTCAGGTCTCTAACCACTACCTGCACTCCACAATGACCCAGAGGATGGCACAGAGCCTCTAGCCACTGCCCATCTCCAAGCACCATGCCGGGCATGGTGCTGGCATCCAGGGCAGTAGCCTGGGCCCTGGCTACCCTGGCTACAGAGGCTTGGCCAAAAGAAAGTAGCCTGCACAGTTCCTGCCTCCACCTTCTTCTGGAGTTTACTCCAAAGGTATCATTTATTTTTTATTTATTTTTTAAAGATTTATTTTATCTATTTATGCATGTAAGAGCTGAGGTATGGGGGGTGGGTGGGAGGATTCACCAGAGACTGAGGAGCAGAACAGGCAGATCTACTGCAATACAATGCTGAGGGGAGCAGTGGGCGAGACAGGAGAGGTCTGCTGCGCCATGTGGGTAGCTCCATGGCTGGGGATCAAATTCGTGCTTCCTTGGCTGCCGACAGCTTCATAGTGCTGAGACTTAACCCCTTGCACACCAGGTAGCCGCCTCCAAACGTTTTGTTTAAACATAAAATCCCCATTTCCATCTTTAGCACAGCTTACACTCCTTTGCTGCTTTCCAAAACACCTTATTTTGCTTATTATTTGCTCATTGAAAGCTCAGTGAGGGTGAGGGTGATTTGGCCTGTTCACTGCCTACTATTTAGTAGTGTTATATTCATATTTTTTGATTAAATGAGTTGGATGAATTAAAACAATAGTAATAGCAAACATTTACACAATATTCTCTATATGCCAGGAAATAGTCCAAGAAATATACACAATATAATATGAGTAGACATTTCATTTAATTCTCATGACAACACAATAAAAGTACTAGAAATGAAATAAAATGAAAAAGTCCACCTCATTGAATGTTAGCAACATAAAGAAGAAACACAGAGAGGTTAAGTAGGCTACCTGAAGACACACAGCTCATCAGCAACAGAGCCAGACTTCTAATACAGACAGAGTGATTCCAGAATGAACAATTAGCATCAACAATTTACACATGTTGGGCACTCTTTATGTACAAGCACTGAGGTGAAAACTTCTCCTTTACTCCTCACAATAATCCTTTAAGTTAAAGATTATTGAGAATAAGCCTGAAGCATAGTGAGATTCAACAGCACACCCAAGTTCATGCAGTTAATTGTGGACCTGGGATTCAAACTCAGAGTGTCCTACTCCAAAGCCCGGGCCCTGTCATTTGGCATGATGGGAAGCCAGGAGAGGAGGAAATTTACTGGCATAGTGAGTTGTACCTGCATGAAAGAAATATGGTCATATCAATGGGTGCAGATGTAGTGCAAGAGGAGGAGGAAATGGAATGGGAGGGGAGATAAATTACCGAAGGAGAGGAGCTCTCTCTCCCATACCTCTTGCTTTCTTACTTCACTTTGACCACTTCACTTGTCTTGCTGTCCTTTATCTCCTTCCAGAATTGAAAATATGTCCACCTCTTATATAAACCACCGTGGACTCAGCATAGAGCTATGTTTTTGTTTTCAGTCAAGTTGTTTTTCACAATGCTAGTACTTGATAAATACTTCCTGAGGGGCCAAGTATAAAATGTTCTCCCCAATCATACCTTCTGAGTTTTCTGCAGCCCTTAGTAGGCACCTTCAACTGCCAAGGTGCAAGGAGAGGGAACCATATGACAGGGCCATGCAGGCACTTTACCTGTATGATTTCACTCAAGTCTCGGAGGAGCCTGAAGAAGTCAGAAGCCTTATCCTCATGGGATCAGGAAGGCACCTGAGGATCAAGAAGCTGGAGAGACTTGCCCAAGGTCACATAGCAAAGAGACAACAGATCCAGAAGGGCCCCAGTTTAGATCTTCTGACTCAGTACTTTCTCCCCTTGGGGTGTGTGTGTGGGCGGGTTCACTTAGTTCTGACCAAACCTGTAACCAGGGCCCAGGTTACTACAGTGGATGCCAGCAATGCCAATCATTAAACCCAGATGCACAGAAAGGGCCCTGACCAAGACAGAGCAAAGAAAGAGGGACTCCCCAGTGTGTCACACTGTGTTCCTGGCACTCTGAGAGCCAGGGCTTCTGTCGGAGGGTACTGAGTCACCTTCCATCTTCTGTGGCAAATCCCTGGCAGCCACACATGCTCTGAGCAGCTGGATTTGAAACTGTGGGTTGCCCAGAAGTTTGGCTAAATGGAAATGAGGAACAAGCTTTTGTATGAAATCCTGGTCCTGCCAGTTACTGTGTCATCTTGGGCAATTTTCTTTTTATTTATTTATTTATTTATTTTTTATAGAGTCATGTTTTATTTATTTATTTGTTTGTTTGTTTGTTTGTTTTGTTTATACATCCACTGGGTACAGTCAGAAGCGAGGGAGGGTGAGAGAATTCACCAGAGCCAGAGCGGGGAGCAGAGCAGGCAGAAGGACCGAAGTACACTGCTGAGGGGAGCAGCGGGCGGCAGGAGAGGTCTGCGCGCCATGTGGGACCCTCCTCCAGTGGCCAGGGAGCAGCCGGGGATTGAACCGGCACGGCATAGGCCGCGGGCAGCTTCGCAACCCAGTGCTCAACCGCTGCACCACCAGGGAGGCCCCCTTGGGCAATTTTCTTAACCTGAGCCTCAGCTTTCTCATCTGTTCATAGAGAGACACCTGCCTCCTGGAATTTTTATGAGGATTCAAGATATGGATGATTCAAGATCATCCATAACAGATGTGTGTAGTAGATGTATCATTTGTGCTCATTAAAAATGATGGTTGTTACTGTTTGAGGATTCTCACCTTTTCTTATTTCCCATAAAACACTGTTTTGTTTTTTAGGGAAAACGTTTTTCCTACATGTTTTTTAAACTAGTGTGTGAGACCAAAGGTACTGGCCCAGGCTAACTGTACTTTCCTCTAAGTCTAGGGGCCGAGGAGGATTCCAGTTGACATGTGTGCTAGCAGGTTCTGTGTGACCTACCAGATCCCAGGCAGCCTTCCTAACTGGCCCTCCTGCAGGTTTGCCCTAGTTCTGTCCTTTCTCTGGCCAGCACTCATCCCAGTGTAGGACTCATTCCTTGACTTGAAACAGTGCCAAAGCACAGTGCAAATACAGGTCAAAGGACATTGCCAAGGGAGGTGACAGATCACTGTCTTTGGGTTCTCATCTGTGCACTTAATTGCAAGACCACTCAGGTTCAGCATTCAACTGTGACAAGATATATTTAAAAAGGAGAGAGAGAAGTTGAAAGAGAAGTCTGGGGAAAAGAGAGCTAGAGGTAAGGCCAGAGGCAGTAGTAATGGCTGAAAGGTCACGAAGGTGTCAGGTACCAAAGGTCTCAAGTCACGAAGGTCTTAATGTTCTCAGCAGAGGTGGCCCCACAGCAGTCAGCAACAGTGATCCAAAAGCTGGCCTGACTGCATTGAAGCCCGGACCAGACAACACCAAAGGCAACAGCACCGGGGGGACCTGTATTGCAGCTCTTAGAGATGCTGGGCATGCAGCAACAGCAAACAGCTTTTAGAGCACAGGGCTGAGGGTGTCATTCTGCAGGCGATGTCAGAGGGAGAGTCAGAGGTCAGGTCTGTGAAGGCGTGGTGCCGGTGGACAGGGCTCAGTGTTACAGCTCTATGAAGTCTTCTGGATGTAAGACTGCTCCGCCACTGCTTCTTCAAGTCCTCCTCCAAACTTCACACAAGTCCTCTTCAAATCTTCGTCCATCTTTCCTCAGCACACACACCCCTCTTCAAGCTGTTTGGAACCTGGCCCACTTTTAGAAACTGATTGCTCCTTTTAGTTGATTGGCACAAATGGGAGCTCCAATTTACATTGGGAGTTTCATGATCCTATATTTACATAATTGCCAAGAGAGGAAAACTGCACCAGATTTTCATAACTGCCAAAGGAGGGGGGTGCTCCAATCCCGCCTGTTTCATTGTTGCTAGTCAAGCTCCAGTGAAATCAGTCCAGTCTTAAGTGTATCCTGGAGCCTGACACAAAAGGGAAAAGACTGGCCCCTGCCCATGATGAACCTGCATGAGGTCAGGCTCCTGGGATGGAGGGCTCCAAGGAACTCAGTGGGGCCGCCTCAGTAGGGCCGGAGGCACACTGCACTTGATGTCCCTCAGCGGGGCTGGGTCTAATAATTAGAGGGCCCTGTTTTAAGGACCCTGCTTTAAGCTTTGTCCCAATCTTGTGTCATTCATGCTTAGCGCAGTCCCTGGTACATACAAACTGAAGCTGGAACTCATGCCAGGCGGGAGCTGCAGCAGTGGCAGAGGCAGTCTACCCTGCTGCTCCACCAAATGCCTGCTCTGGCTGTGGTTCCCGGAGCCCAGCAACCTCCCTTTGATATGTAGTGCTGGGATCGGACAATGGACCAGTCAAGTGTGAGCTATGGGCTAAATGGTCCAATCAACCATAGGATTGAAAATCAGTCCAATCAGATTTGTAGGTGGGGGCCCCTGAAAAGAGGATATAAGGCAAGGCCAGAGGGAGCTGGGAGGACACTGTTTCAGCCTCTGAAGAAAGAAGGGGACTCCATTCCAGCCTCCAAAGGAAGGAGAAGTCTCTGTTCTTGGCCTCCGAAGAAGAAAGAAGGACCAGCAATCGACCTCCGAGGAAAGATGAGGAGCTTCTGGTCCTGCCTCTGACATCACCTGAAAGGAGCACCAAAGGCCCCCAAAGGCTCTTTGGTGTCTCAAAGAGCTGTTTGTTGTTGGTGTGGGCCAATGACTCACAAGGAGCTGCTAACACTTGGTGTCTCTGACACTGCCTCTGGGTGACCAGTAGTGACTATCACCACTGGCCAGTGCTGTCCAACTCTGTAGACAGAGGACCAACACTCCACGTACATCTGAACTTCAGGTGGAC